GGGAAAAATAGAAGCAACACTGATTTCTGATTTATCATAACAGAAAGTTGTTCCTTGCTTATTACAAAATCATATTCCATTCTGCTTGAAGATTAAGCATCTACACTTAGTACTCATTCATTTCTCCTATCACTGCACATGAGAAAACTCTGAGTCAGCAAGGCTGAATCACTGCATCAGTTATTCTGAAATGGAGTCGGGGTCCAAATCCTGGTCCGTCTGACTCAGGAGCCCATGTTATTTCCTATACCCCACTCTGTCTGCCTTTACGTTAGGACAAAGCCTTAGCATTAATTCACTCCTATGGACCCACAAACACAGTAACAACCAGTGGGAGAGAGATTTGGGTGCAGAGTGATTTTAATCTTCCTAGGGCCTCCCATCTGAATATCACCCCTGCCTGGTCTGCCCTCTCTCCACAGGGAGCCTTCTGGGGCCTCATGTTTGGCCTGGTGGTGGGGTTCCTGCGCATGATCCTGGAGTTCTCCTACTCAGCCCCAGCCTGTGGGGAGGTGGACCAGAGGCCGGCTGTGCTCAAGGACTTCCACTACCTCTACTTTGCCCTCATCCTCTGCGGCCTCACTGCCATCGTCATGGTCACCGTCAGCCTCTGTACAACCCCCATCCCTGAGGAAGAGGCAAGTGGAGAGCTCATACTAACCCCCTCCCCGCCCCAAATGCCTCCCCATCCCCACCACTGAGTTTAACTTTATTGGGTGATGATCTTACCTGCTGCCATACAGATGTCCCAGGGAGAGGGAGCTCATTGGTTATTAATTCCCAACTGAAAAGTAATTTGTTCAATTGAAAGATTGCTCAGTGAGCATCTACTATGTGCCAGGCCTGTGTTGGAGTTACAGAGATGAATGGTCTCCCATAGCATCTGTCCACAGGGGATGTTTGGGGGGCGGGCACAGACACCCACATAAACAGTTGCTCTACCAAGAAGAAAAGCAGAAGTCCCAGTCTCAAGGCTGAGCACAGAGGAGAGGCAGTCACCCCTGGGAGAGTTCCTGACAAGCCACTTTGAGTTGGATCTAGAAGAATGAGTAGGGACTGGTTGAAGAGTCAAGAAACAATATATGAGAAAAGAAAAGAAATAGTCTACCAAAGTAAGAGCTTAATTGGGAGTTCTCCCCTCTCCCATGCTGACAATTTACCTGTCCTCGGACATGAGGCCCAGTCTTCAGTTCTGAAACCTTTTATTTTCTTTAGAGCAAAAGAGCATTCGTTTGCTCCAGCTGCCATAACAAGGTACCACACACAGCCTGGGTGGCTTAAGCAGCAGGAATTTATTTTATCACAGTTCTGGCAGCTAGAAGCCTGAGATTGAGGTGGTATAGGGTCGTTTCCTCTAAGGCCTCTCTCCTTTGCCTCCTCCCCCTGTGCCTGTCTGTGTCCTAATCTCTTCTCATAGTGACACCAGTCCTGTTGGATTAGGGCCACTCTAATCACCTCATTTAACCTTAATTATCTCTTTAAAGACCCTATCTCCAAGCACCGGCTCATTCTGAAGTACTGGGGTTTAGGACTTAAACACATGAATTTGGGGAGGGAGACACAATTTAGCCCGTAACTAAGCCCATGCCAGAAGCTGGGCCCTGAAACATTGAGTGGAAATCAGTATTCACACCCCTTACCTGTGTGGTGCCTTAGAGGTTACAACACTTACCCTGGTGGCACTAATTCCTACAAACAAGCGGGTCGTTCACAGGTGAGCCAGGGGAGGCAGCTCGCTTTATTTCTTGCTTCACTTTTGCAACAGGCTCCAGGCTGAATCCCTTCAATTCTTTCTAAATCCCAGGACTCAGAGTCTCTTCCCTGTTCCCAAAGTCTGCAGTGACTCTCCATTGCACTGTTTTTAAGAGAAATCAACTCCTAGCCTGACTTTGGAAGCCTTTTGTCATAGGGTTCCTACCTCCCTGCACCTGACTTTGTGTGTTTCAGCACGTGGCCTGGCTCAGGGAGAGCAGGTTTTCAAAGGAAGTGGAGGCCAAGCTAATAGCCAAGCCTTCCCTCCCATCTCTGCGATTGCTCCTGGCACCCCTCCCTGCTCTGAGGTTCCCCCATGAGGGGCCCCTCTAATTTTACAGCGTGACTTCCCTTCAAAGGGAACTGAGTCAAGACAGCGTTTCCCTTCCCTTCAGCTCGCTCGCCTGACGTGGTGGACACGGAACCACCCCCGCTATGAGCTGGAGAAGGAAGCCCATGAGGACACACCAGGGACATCGGAGATGGAGATGCCACCTGGCGTGCACCCTGCAGGAGGCGGAGGGACCCAGAACCCCAGCCAGGGCCCGGAGCAGCACGGAGGTAGGCTGAGGGTGTGCTGGGGTGCTACCACAGAGGAGTGATGGGGACAGATACTGGGTCACAGGTCCCCTAAGACCCCATCTTGGGGTCATTGGGGATGAGGTCTCTGTAAGAGTCCATACACTATCTTTCCTCCCTTCCCACATGCCTATAAAACAATGTGAGAAATAAGACAAGTAAGGCAGATGGGAGCCAAAATATTGCCCCCATTACTGATAAAGTGCAGGTGGAAAGATCTGGTTTATATCCACGGGGAGGTGCACTTCCTGACACTGAACCCCAGCATTAGACAGAGGGACCCATCAGTCACCTACCCATGAGCACTGCACTGCCCAGGAGGAGGGTGGGAGTGAACCAAGTGAGCCCTTCTTATCCTTCCCAAGCCTGCCACAGGAGGTCCCTTCATCTCTCTGGGTTGAATGAATCTAAGGGCAGAAAATCAAATCAAAGGGTGTGACATTAATTGAGTTCCATCCACATGGAAGGAAGCCTCAGGTATGGCAAAGAAACAGCCCCGCCCCCCTCATCCCCCCACACACCCATTTTATTATTTATTTCCTATTGGGCTTAATAATCTGCCTAGAATCACACAAAAGCATGGTCATCTTCACAGGAAGAGAGCAGATGTGTCCGTACAGTGTCCTCCTGAGCTGCTGGTGGGCCATACAAATACTGCCTCCTGGAGATTCTTTTATTATTATTATTTTTTAATTTTTTTAATTTTTATTTTTTAAAAATCTTTATTGTTGAAAGTATTACATATATAACCCCCTTTGTCCCCCATTGACCTCTTCCAGCCCGCTCCTACCCCCCACCCCAGGCCCTCATCACCCCATTGTCTTTGTACGTGGGTTGTGCATATATGCATACAAGTTCATTGGTTGATCTCTTCCCATCCACTCTCCCCTGCCTTCCCTCTGAGGTTCGACTGTCTGTTCCTAAATGTGTTAGAATATATATGAATTCAATGTCCTTCAAGACCACACAGTGTCTAAAGTCGGAAGTTGACATAAGACATACACTAGCTGGTTTAGATGCAATGCGTCTATGACCTCCCTGCAGGGCGCTTGAATACCAATGTTAAGGCATTCTGATTTAGTGACACCATAGAGATTTCCCAAAGTGTAAGATTCCCAAGGAAAAACTAATGTCAGCAGTGGTAAAATCGTTTGCAATTTAAAGCCCCACGTCAATTTCTCTTGCCCTGATGAGTTAAAATTTTAATGAAATTTAAGTCCTAAATGTACTTCCTGCCTCAGATGGAGGAGCCCAGTGCTGGGTGGAGTTGGGGGTGCCTTCGGTGCTTGAATACCAATGTTAAGGCATTCTGATTTAGTGACACCATAGAGATTTCCCAAAGTGTAAGATTCCCAAGGAAAAACTAATGTCAGAAGTGGTAAAATCGTTTGCAATTTAAAGCCCCATGGCAATTTCTCTTGCCCTGATGAGTTAAAATTTTAATGAAATTTAAGTTCTAAATGTACTTCCTGCCTCAGATAGAGGAGCCCAGTGCTGGGTGGAGTTGGGGTGCCTTCAGAGGCTGCCCTCTCCCATTGGGGTAGGAAAGAGCTCCATCAAGGCTTCAAAAAGGTTCTTCATTCCATCCCCAGCTGCTGGTGTGACAAACTTAATAATTCCAGCAAGTTTAAGGCATAGATAACGTCATCCAAGCACCGGTTGTTAGCCCCACATGGCTGGCAGCTACGCCACTTGGCTCCCACGTCTTTGCTGGATTCTAGGAGCCCTGAGCTTTCCTGAGGCCTGAGAAACCTCCACCATTCTTGAGCCTTTCAGCTTTGCTTAGGACCCTGATTCTACAGAAACAGCCACTTGCCTAGAGGTTATGACATCATAAGCTCCAGAATATGAGCTCTACTGACACCAAAGATCCAAGCTTCTTTTTGTATTTTCGAGATCCAAGTTTCTTGACCAATCGATCCACTATTTTTAAAAAACTATCCATAATGGGGAATGTAATCTTTTATAGGCTCACTTTTATAAGCACCAGTGAAGCTTGAAGTCACCATCCCTAGTCTAATCTGGTGCCACAATTTTGCTTTGCAACATGTAACTCCTTAACTCCTTTTTGAGCTTTGTGGTCCATCTGCCAGATGTTAGGGTCTCAAAACTGCTTCTCATTCCTTCACCACCAGGACCAGGTCTGGTCCCTATAAAATGTATGGTGTGGAAGAAGCAGTCTGAGAGCACAGCTCTTTACAGGTGAGGCAGCTGCCGAGAGGAGGAAGGAGGAAGGGAAGAGCAGAGAAGGTAGCTCCCAGAGGGAAGGAGGGTACGGCTTGTACTCTCCCCAGCTCAGCCCCACAACTAGACGGATTTGCACAGTCATGGGCATCCCTGCCTGGTGGGCCCCAGGCCACAGCTCTTTACAGGTGAGGCAGCTGCCGAGAGGAGGAAGGAGGAAGGGAAGAAGCCGAGAAGGTAGCTCCCAGAGGGAAGGAGGGTAGGGCTTGTACTCTCCCCAGCTTAGCCCCATGACTAGACGGATTTGTACGGTCATGGGCAGCCCTGCCTGGTGGGCCCCAGGTCCAGGGCAGAGCCTCTCTCTGGAGCAGCAGAGAAATGACTGCTCCCTGTGGGTGCCTTGCTCCCGAAAGGACAGAAGAGGCACTGAGTCAATCAAGTTCAATGAGAGAAATCCCTCCCACCCACCAGGAGGAGGGAAAGGGTAGGGAGAGACAAGAGCCCCTTCCCTGCCAAGGGACGTGAGGGGTGGGGAGGAAGCACCACCTGTGAAGGCTGCAGGCAGAGGAAGCCTCGCCTGCGCCACACTCAGGTTAAAAAGTTAAATGGCCGTACACTTCTGAGTCACAGAAGAGGCACTGAGTCAATCAAGTTCAATGAGAGACAAATCCCTCCCACGCACCAGGAGGAGGGAAAGGACAGGGAGAGACAAGAGCCCCTTCCCTACCAAGGGACGTGGGGGGTGGGGAGGAAGCACCACCCATTGAAGGCTGTAGGCAGAGGAAGCCTCACCTGCGCCACACTCAGGTTAAAAAGTGAAATGGCCGTACACTTCTGAGTACTAAGAACAGGAACTCAAAGACAAATTTAAGAACAGCAGAGCAGATCCAAAGGAAGGATACACATCCAAGGCTACAGATAGGTTTAGCTTTATTAAGTGACTCAAAAGAGAGTGCTGGGACCAGCTTGTAAAACGATAGAGCTTAGTGCACTAGAGAGCTGGACTCATCTTATTCCTCTTCATGCAACTTTGTGGCTACATGACCGTAAGCAGGTGGCTTCCTTTCTCCAAGCCCTTTCCCTCCTCTGTACAGTGAAGGAACAAGACTACATGGTAGCCAGGGTCTTCGTATCCCTGAGACTCCATAGTCACATTGAACTCACCAAGTGCCAAGTTCCAAAGCCATCCTATCTAACAAAGAGGGAATATGCTAATAGACCCTCACGCCATCGCAAAGATGGCAGCACCCACAGCCAATAAGGAGGGAATATGCTAATTGACTGCCACACCCTCAAAGATGGCGGCATCCACAGCCACAAGATGGCCGGTAGGGGAGGGCAGTTAGGGGTGACCAGGCCATCAGGGGAAAGTAGTTAGGGGTGACCAGGCCAGCAGTAGAGGTCAGTTGGGGAGGACCAGGTCAGCAGGGGAGGGCAGTTAGGGGTGACCAGACTGGCAGGGGAGGGCAGTTGGGGGTGATCAGGCTGGCAGGGGAGCAGTTAGGCATCAATCAGGCTGGCAGGGGACTGGTTAAGGGTAATCAGGCTGGCAGGGAGAAGCAGTTAGGGGCAATCAGGCAGGCAGGCAGGCAAGCAGTTGGGAGCCAGCAGTCCCGGATTGTGAAAGGGATGTCCGACTGCCAGCAGAAGAACAGGAACTCAAAGACAAATTTAAGAACAGCAGAGCAGATCCAAAGGAAGGATACACATCCAAGGCTACAGATAGGTTTAGCTTTATTAAGTGACTCAAAAGAGAGTGCTGGGACCAGCTTGTAAAACGATAGAGCTTAGTGCACTAGAGAGCTGGACTCATCTTATTCCTCTTCATGCAACTTTGTGGCTACATGACCGTAAGCAGGTGGCTTCCTTTCTCCAAGCCCTTTCCCTCCTCTGTACAGTGAAGGAACAAGACTACATGGTAGCCAGGGTCTTCGTATCCCTGAGACTCCATAGTCACATTGAACTCACCAAGTGCCAAGTTCCAAAGCCATCCTATCTAGCAAAGAGGGAATATGCTAATAGACCCTCACGCCACCGCAAAGATGGCGGCACCCACAGCCAATAAGGAGGGAATATGCTAATTGACTGCCACACCCTCAAAGATGGCGGCATCCACAGCCACAAGATGGCCGGGAGGGGAGGGCAGTTAGGGGTGACCAGGCCATCAGGGGAAAGTAGTTAGGGGTGACCAGGCCAGCAGTAGAGGTCAGTTGGGGAGGACCAGGTCAGCAGGGGAGGGCAGTTAGGGGTGACCAGACTGGCAGGGGAGGGCAGTTGGGGGTGATCAGGCTGGCAGGGGAGCAGTTAGGCATCAATCAGGCTGGCAGGGGACTGGTTAAGGGTAATCAGGCTGGCAGGGAGAAGCAGTTAGGGGCAATCAGGCAGGCAGGCAGGCAAGCAGTTGGGAGCCAGCAGTCCCGGATTGTGAAAGGGATGTCCGACTGCCAGCAGTCAGACATCCCTCAAGGGGTCCCAGATTGGAGAGGGTGCAGGCTGGGCTGAGGGACACCCTACCCCCCACCAGTGCATGAATTTTGTACACTGGGCCTCTAGTGAAGATAATAAAACATTTCCAATGGGCTGGGTTCAATCTCAGTGAAAGGCTTTTTATTTGAATTTTATTTTAATATACTAACTGTTAATCCAAAAGAACTTTGATAATATTTATTTTCTTTATTCATTCTTTTAAACTTAGCTTTTAATGAAATGTGCTCCCTTTTAACTTCAGAGTGAGCCCCTTCTTCAGGCTGGCGATGTTGTGTGCATGTGGCACAGTCTTGGGCACATTCAGAGCATTGATTTCCCCAGAACCTATCTCACTGCTCAGCTCTATGACTCTTTAAGGTGCTGTCAAATCTGCATTCTCATTGTATGAACAGAACAACCTGCAGAACAGGGCTACACCCCTGACCTATTTGGGAGGGAAAGACCCTGGGCTCAGAGAAGCTGAGCAGTCTGCATGTAGCCTCAGTCAGGGGATGGCAGGGGCCCTGGAATGCAGCTTCCAGCCAGTGCCCTGCCCACAGCATTGCGTCAGCCTGTCTGGCTCCACTGCTGCCTCCTTCCTGGGCAGGGTGATGCTTCCACTGCATCCTCCTGTGGCTGTGTGATCTGAATTGGGATGAACAGCATTATCCTCACCCCTTAACACACCACCATGGAGATGCTTCTGCCAATGGCTGGGTGCGTAGCCAGGGTCAGAGCTCGGTGGAGTCCCAGTTCAGCATCCAGGCTGTGGCTAGTAGGAAGGACTAAGTTGATTGTTCCACGGCCCCCCTTTTTCTGTGCACTCATCCTTTTCTACCCTTTCTCCCCTCTCTCTCCCTCCCCTGCTCTCTCATCACTCTCCTTTTTGACCTTGTCTTGCCGCTCCCTCCTGTTTCCCTCCCCCTCTGGCCTTTGTCCCTCAGCCCCTCACAGGTCCTGTGGAAAGCTGCTCTGGGGCTGGTTCTGTGGGCTCTCTGGGGTCCTGGAGCCGGCCCTGAGCCCCGCGGAGAAGGCTGCGCTAGAGCTGAAGCTGACCAGCATTGAGGAGGAGCCGCTCTGGAGACGCGTCTGCAACGTCAATGCTGTCCTCCTGCTGGCCATCAACGTCTTCCTCTGGGGCTACTTTGCCTGACTTCGCGGACCTGGCTTCAACCGAGACATGAAACACAGCCCAGCCTGGCCGGTCACAGACAGGCCCGCCTCCCACCTTGCTGTCCAAACTGCAGACCACCCAGGCTGAGACTGCAGGACGCCTGGAGAGCCCCTGACCCAGCCTGCACGCGTGGCTGGTGGTGAAATGGAGGCCCAGAGAGAGCGCTGGGCCTGTCCGGGGCCACACAGCAGGATCCTCCCTGGTCTCCTGGATCCAGCTCTCTTGCCATTGCATTGCCTTAAAGTCCTACCTCAAAAACGCTGTGTCACCTTCTTGGTGAGTCTTCTCAGAGCATTTACTCAACATGTGTCTTGAGGTTAGAAAGTGGAGGATATGAAGGAAAGGAATAGCAAGCAAGTTGCAGAAATCCACGTGCATCTTTGCTCACCCATATCCCTTCCTTCTCCCCCTTCTCCTTCCCTTCCATCACTGGTTCCCAATCCCCCGTCCACTATTCCTGGCTGGCATGTACCCAGAAGGACCTTCCACTTCCACTGGGGGGTCCATGAGGTGGCCGTCAGGCCCGCAGGAGTGAGGGCCCTGGTGGGATGTAAGCATGGTGACAGGTGGTGCTCAGGGCAGGGGGCCTGGGGTTAGGGACTCTCCTTGGCACTACTCCAATCTGCCTCTTCCCGATCTCACCTCCAAACATGTGCACATCTCCACGGCCTCGAGGAACTGAGGGAAATCATGCCACAATCAGGAAGCAAAAAGTAGTGGGAAATGTCTGGATTGGAGGGTCACATGGGCTGGGCCATGGCTGGGCCATCTGTCCTCTTTGTGTGTAAGAGCATTGGCACCCTTTCTTTTAGGTGCATGTGACTCCTCACCAGGGGTTCACAGGCGGCACCCAGAGCTTGGGCTGCATGTCCACCCCTCCGTGCCCTCTTGCCCAGGTGCATCTGTGCAGGGCACCACCTGCACACCCGTGAGTGGCAGCCCTGTCGTGCTGGGAGTGGCTGTGGCTGGGAGGTCAGCAGGGGCTCACTCCCTGCTGAACTTGGGATTTCCTCGCCTCTTCCCTGGATGGCTGCACTAGTCTCTTAACTGTTATCTCTGTTCTGGGCCTCTCCTCTTCCAACTCACCATATGCCCTATAGCGAGAGTGATCTTTGTAAAAACATATCTTGTGTCATATTCCTGTTCCAGGTTCCCTCTGAGTGATGTTTCCTAGCTAGGTATGAGGCCTTGCTAGCACTATCCCCAGGGTTCAGTCCTTGGGCTCCCTGCTTTACCCCAGTCAAAGGTAGCCTGTTCTCTGCCATGGTTAAGACCAGGGACTTGGAAACCTGAACTTCTGGAACTAAATCTTAGCTCTGCCACTTGCTAACTGGATCATATTGACAAAGTAGCTTAGCCTCTCTCTCAGTTTCCGTTCTACAGAATGGGGATGGCAATTGCAGTTACTTCATAGAGTTGAGAGAATCATATGACTTAATTCACATAAAGTTTTTAAAAAAGTACCTGGCACATAATTACAGTGCTCAATGAACAGTCGCTATTATTACTACCGTTAGAAAGTAGCAGGTGAGGGGCACACAGGAGGCCTGGCACGCATAATCATGATATTTTAGAGCGAGCACAGCATGCTGTCAGAGCAAAGGGGAGGGGCACTGATTTTTCCTGAGGAATCAGGACAGGCCAGATTGGAACTGGACTTTGGAGGATGAACAGGAGTTTTCTAGGAGGAGTCATACAAGGTAGAAGGACAGGGTGTGCAAAAGCGCGTGCAAGGTTCCCACAAAATAGGGATATTTACTCATTTGCAAATACCAACCCTATACATTCACTTTCCCCTTATATATCATGCCTCTCTCTCATCTCTAAGGCAGTGAGCTTTACTGACCAGGGACAGGAGAGAATGCGCATTTGGCCACTGTAGCAGCGGCCCCCCTCATGTCCCCAGGCACTCACCAATCCTGTGTTGGCAACTACCTGCTGAAGCCCTTGCAACTCTCCCCTGAGGGCTTTCTCTGGCTGTAGACAAATCCTGGCTGCCTGCAGAGAACATTCTGGAAATGCTGGGAATTCGGAGCCTGGGAGCAGCCCTCAAACAGAGGCAAACAGAGGGAGTCGGTGGCTGAGCACTGCCAGTCCCGGTCCATCAAGAGGGACAACTCAGAGGCTTGATCTAAACCATCTCCAGCGGTTCTCAGGGGACTGAGCCCCAGCCGCCCAGTTAGCCTGCTCATGACCACATCTGAATAGCGGCCTTCCCTCCCCTGTCTCATGCCCCCTCTCTCCTGCGTGGTCTCCTGGGACCCCCTTCCAAATAAACCACAAACTTGCATCTGGTTTCATGTACTGCTTCTGAGGAAACCAAATAAGAGAGCCTTTTACAACTTGAGGGTGCTCTGTCCTAGCTTAATTTTGCTGTAAGTTGCTCTGTGACACCCTTCCCCCACCCCACCCCCCACTCATACCTCAGTTTCGGCATCCTTAATAAGAGAGTGCAAGGTTTAAATTATATTAAATGAAATCCAAGAAGCCTTCCAATGCTGACATGGTGTACTGATTCATTCCCACATTTGTCTCCCTGGGGCTGGGGGTGAGGGGGGGAGTGGAGGTGTGCAGGGGAAGCCAGCCACATGCCAGCCCACTTGAGTGGAAACAGCGCAAATAGAAAAACACTGAAAAGTCGTTTTCAGAGAATTGAAATGGGTTTGCCAGGAGCAATAATAACATTAAGAAGTAGCTTTGGACTGTGAAAGGGCAATGTTTAAAAACAAATGGTGCTGTTAAAAAGACTATGAAGAAATGTTTTTGAAAGTGATTTGCAACTGAGCTGGGGCACAGAGCACTCAGTTTAATATGTGAGGCCCATGATTGTGACCCTGGGTGTGAGAGTTCACGCCGGTTGGAAGGGGGTGGACACCGCTCAGAAGCCCGGGCGCGAGTGTCAGTTTCCCATTAACCTAGAAGTGCCGCCTCTCTGGACGTCCAGCCCTAGGTGAGATTACTGCGATTTCTTCTTTTCTCCAGAGTGAGAAACCGGGAGCACATTAAAGGTTCTATATAAATATAAATTCTGGATACTTAAATGGAGCTAGTTACAGTTTACTTTCATATTTCAACATCAAATCTCAGCTTTAGCCCAGACTCACAAAGTAGAAATGTCAGATTTTTACTGTGTGTGATCTTACATAAAATCTACAAGCTTCACTTGAAAAGGAAAAAACCCACCAGTACACTCCATCCCCTGACTAGAATACAAATGCCCTCCCTGGTCCACCTCTCGGTATGGTTTGCACGTAGAATTTTAGAATTATATGCATCCAAAATGGGAGGGAGTCTCAGGAGTCAGCTAGTTTGCCCCCTTTTCCTCCTTGTCCAGGTCAGGATCTCTCTGAACAGCCTCCCTGACAGGCAAGGTTCCCATCCTGTGCTTGGTGAGGAGGTCGGGGCTGTAACACTGCCTTACAATCCCTGCTCCAGGCAACAGCCGGCCTCACGGAGCTAGTATTAGATCTATGTTTCTGTTGGAGGCGATGGTAAGTAATTTTGGGATAGTGAGTTACCTGGGACTTTATTTTGTGGGGAACAGGGAAAGGGCAAGGGAGAGGGCAAAGCTCTTTGTCCAGTCAGGCTTCTGGGAACTGGCTTGGATCCCGTATTATAACAGAACTTGCAGGGGGAGGGGGAGAAGTGAGGACAGAGGACCTGTCTCAGCTGCGGGCAGTTCTGTGAAGAGGCAGCCTTCAACCTGTCGAGGATTCCCGTGGCCACACAGTCCCCTTCACAAGGTCTCACCCCTCCAAGGGCAGCCCATATCAGGTGACTAGTAAGTATAAAGATGAGGCTCTTTCATCTAATGTGAGACAACGTTGGTGGGCCTTTTTAGCTCGAGGCCCTGAGGGGCTGGCCCCGGCTGCCATCAGGCCTATGTCACAGCTCACTTCCCTCCCCTCAATCCTGTGTCCTTCCTCCCACTGGGATGGATGCAGGGCCCTCCCTAATAAACAGCGTGCACACCAGACTCCATCTCAGAGTTCGCATCCCACCTGTGAGGGGTCTAAGTGGCCGGCTCCTCTGACCTTGGCTAGTCGTGGCACTCACTGTGATCCCCCCTCTGCTGACTAGACTCCACAGACGCTCCTAACAAACCACAAGCCTGTGCCTTCTCCTATGGACTGCTGAGTGGCTGATGGCTGTTTTCTGTTTTACAAAATAGTGTTAACAGGCTCTAATCAATCCAGTTGGACAAGTAACAAAAAAAATGAGTGTGTGTTCAGCAAATAATTCCATCCCGGCTGCCCAAAGACCCTCATAGCAGAAACCATGAAGCCTTATGTGTCTTATTTTCTCTCTGCTGCACCCTTGAAGTGTTTGCTGACATTGGGCGTCTGGTAATAATCACTGTCCCCAGCCATGTTTCTCACTCTTCAGGAAATTCATGGCCGTCCCACGCTGAGGTCCGATGTTCTAATCGGCCAATCCATTCTCAACTTCCCAGCTTTTGGATATAAACGGGGAAGAAAAATAAACCTCTGTAAACTTCAAGGTCACAAAAACTGTGCTAGAAAAAGTTCCCCGTGGAAACACTGGATGGCCACAGAAGACAGGTTTTACTAGTAGAAATAAATATACTTGAGACTTCTATGCACTGGCACAGATTGAATGAACCAAAAACCGGGGACAAAAAATTGCTCATTCAAAACCTTTAGAAGGGATTTAATTTTTTGCGTGCTTTCTTTTGCTTTGGTTTATTTGTTTCTGTCTTTGTATGCTTCCTTCACAACAAAGTTGAAACCCAGTAAATTAGGCAAAGTGCATCTCGCATTGTACTCAAATTACTCTCAGAACACAGATTGCTTAATAAGGCTAGAGATGCATAAACCTTTACAAATCAGGGGGATTTCAAATGGATTCAGTCTTTAAAATGTAGCTGCACGAATAACAGAAGCTGATGTTCACTGAGCACTGTGCCAGCCACTGTGCTGAGTGTTTCTATGAATTACCTTGATTAACCCTCCCCACCCACCTGAGACAGGCAGGACCTGTGTTCAAAATGAATGATGCCCTGGGGCTTTTATTTTCCCTTTCTCAGAGGAGATGGAAGCAGAGGCTGATTCAGCACCTTGCCTTGATCTCACACAGTAGGTGCACAACTCCCCCAGCAGGCTGATTGCACTCAGCCGGGCTCTTACTACCCTGCTCTGTGCCCGCTCCTCTGCTGTTATGAGACTTAATTATGGTAGGAGAGGTAGTCTCTACTTCACAACTTCCTCTACCTTTGTTCTGGCTGCTCTCTGCCTGCACTATCTTATACATCTCTGCCTGCTGAAACCCCATGCATCCTGTAAGGCCCAGCTCAAATGTTTGTAGAAACTTCCCAGTATTTATTGGAATTAGGGTGAAGTGTTAGGAAGGAATAAGAAACCAGTCGCCTATTTCAAAATGGCTGCACGGAATGCACAACGCCCTGCATTTCAGCTTTCATTTGTGTTGTGGTAGAAGAAAGGTTTCCATTTTAGAGAGAAAACACTGGGTGTAAATAAAATGAATCCTAATGCCTGTATTGGTGGTGTGTTGCTGCAAATAAGAGAGAGAATCTGCTATTTACACCTTCTTTCCCTCCCCCATTTCCACATCGGTTTATAATCAATACAGAAGAACTGCAATTGATAGCGTGTGCTATTGCCGAGCAGCACCAGTAGTCCCTTCATTGTACTCGCTTACATCTGGCAAGACCTCAGGTCTCCCTGGACCCATTTTCTCTCTGTGTCTTATGAGCATTAGGAACTTCGACAGGCCACCTCCTTTATAGTCACATATAACCTAACCAGCCCGAGAACCGTTCCATGTGTCCGGTTTGCTATTTTACTTCTGACAAGTCCTATTAAAGAGAAGGGGATAAACTGACTTGCGTTGCATACAAGATGTTGCCTACACCAACGCCAGGCAGGGAGGCAAGATGAACAGCCGGAGCATATGGCCGTGAGCCGGTGGCAGAAAGAAACTTGTTCTCGTGAGCAACAAGGAACATCTTGAAACGTACAAGACATATGGGTTTTTGGAAGAAGACTGAAGTGTTTCATAATAAAAACAGGACAAAGTGAACCATGAGTGCTGAACAAAGTTTTAATTGAAAATGGGTTTTAGTCTTCAATGTGAATATACAATATGCTCCACAGATGGATTTTATATTTAAACCTTATCCAAACCAAAAAGTAAGTGAGACAAATAAAGCTTCTGAAAATGGCATAGAGGCTACAATGTATGTAAACAATGGAGAGTTCGGGTACAAACAAACAGGGAGGGAGAAGCACCCTCTGCCCCCCATTTTCTGCTTGCACGCTGCACAAGCAGATCACAGAACCTACCTTCGGTGTGAACACGCTCTCCTCAGTTTAAGTATATAATAGACCAGTGATGGTGAACCTATGACATGCGTGTCAGGTGACACACGAACTCATTTTTTTGGTTGATTTTTCTTTGTTAAATGGCTTTTAAATATATAAAATAAAAAAGAACTCATTTTTTTTGGTTGATTTTTCTTTGTTAAATGGCATTTAAATATATAAAATAAATATCAAAAATATAAGTCTTTGTTTTACTATGGTTGCAAATATCAAAACATTTCTATATGTGACACGGCACCAGAGTTAAGTTAGGGTTTTTCAAAATGCTGACACGCCGAGCTCAAAAGATTCGCCATCACTGTAATAGACAGACACAATTAGGAAACAACCTAATTGCCCAACCACAGAGAAATGGTTTAATTACTCTACAGGATATCCATGCAACATTAGAGAGCCCTTAAAAAATACATTTATGCATCATTTTAGAAAAGGAAATATGTTTATATTAACATTAAAGTAGTAAGATAACCAATTTGTCAAAAACTAACAATGTTGTAGAAATGAATAGAATATCGCAATAAAATATACACACATATTACCAAGTTAAGTTTTTACTTTTATATGAGTACGTCCATAAATCTTCCACTTCGGTGGTGCACTATTGCTTCTTGTCTTTTTATCTTTTTGCACTATTGCTTTTTAAAATAAGAAAATAACACTTGAAAAGTCCAGTTAAAGCTGAAATATTTAGGATTAAGAAGATGGCTGCCAATGGGAAGGCAGACTAAAAGATAGTGTGTGAGTGAGAGAGTGAAAGGAGAGTGTGTGGACATACGGGGAGTGTATATTTGTGGGTGAGGGTCAGCTGTACTCCAAGGGATTGTTGGGGACTGCCAGACCGGGCTCCCCTGACCGGGCAGCCTCCACTGTTGCTGAAATCTCTCCCGGAGCCACCGGCTCTGCCGCGGAGACCGCACCATCTTGAAGGGGAGA